ATCAGAGAAGGATGGCAGGTAACTACGAAGCCTTAAACACTTGGAGGTGCTTCCCATCCAACATTATCACTCCAAGGACTGGACAAGAAAACTAACGTATGACACATGAAGATTACAGAAATGCATATTTTCCTGAGCCTTTTTATTTTTGTTTATTTTTAATCCCACTTTTATTATTTTTATAAATAACTCAAGGTAGAAAACATACCTAATACTCCTTCCTCCTCCTGTTTTTCCCACAGCAACAACCCTGTGAGGTGGGTTGGACTGAGAGAGAAGGATTGGCCCAAAGTCACCACCCAGCTTTCATGCCTAATGCAGGACTAGGTCTCCAAGATGATTTTGTGTATTTTTTATTAATCAAATTTATATACTGTAGCTGCCAATCTCACCAAAATGACTCTGGGTGCCACATAACAATTAGATAAAAACAATGTGTGTAAAAACAATATAAAATATAAAAATCCATATTAATCATAAAAACCAAAGATGCAAACCATAGACGAAGGGAGGATAAAAATGGCCATTTCAACAATGATAAAATCTTAAGCAAGATTTTTGTTTATAAGCAGCAAAATATGTTCAAGGGCTTCACACCTAAGTAAGTGAAATCATTTTGTCTGTCCTGTTGCATGAAGTATTCTATGTGGTATACTCTTAAGGTTCAGGACTTTCCAAAATCAAAGTATTCAAGATGCCTATATGAACAGAAACAAGGGGGGATTGAATGCAGTTGCACCCATCTAGAGCATCAAAGATCTAATTAAGAACTGCAGGTTAATAAAACTGCAGGTTATTAAGGAATAAATTGTACTAGTTGAGATCCTGAAATATCCAGTTTTTAACATCCTTCAGGAATGCTAAAAATACCTTCGTTTTGTTAATGAAATAGTTATAAAATGTCAACATGTTGGAATGAAGTGTCCTTTGATAGCACAATATTTGTATTATCTGTTGCTATATTTGGTTTTATCTTGGCTTTGTATTGTAAGATGGATATATATTTTGGTTAAAAATGCCAAATGCCATCATACTGCAGCCAAATTCATTTCCTGCTCTACTATTTTTTTTCAGGAATATCTTTATTCAAAGAACTATATAGAAAAGAGTGAACATTTACACCAAAGTCTGAATTCGTGGATTGTGCAAATAAGAGAGGGAAACCTGTAAATGGTTAGATTTGTGCTCTGTCTTTCTTTCAAAGGCGTCTAGGGAGTGTGTTAAGATAATGATTAACAAAAGATAATCTGACAAGTAGATCACTGGGGTTTAGGTGAAAGGATTACAACATGGCATGCATTTGCTAATTCTTGATTTCAGTGAGACAACTTTCTTCAGGTGACAGACAGGAAGTTCTGTTGGATCATTGATGTACAATTCTCAGTGCAAAGGGAAAATAAAATTATCTGTTCTTGAGCAAGGAGAGGAGAGTTTTACTTTCTCCAATATAAAAATTATAAAATTTTTTATTGTTTTTATCATAAAAAAAAACAACACAAGTATTACACAATATTATTACACAATATCCCACCCCCCCGGACTTCCCAAACCAAATCCCAGGCTAATATTCAGATATAGGTAAACGAATATTAATTTCTCTAACTCCACAAACTCTATTATAAACAATCCATCTCCTCCATATTAGTAAAAATTATTCATTTAAGTAATTCATATCACCAAAATCTTTACCAATTCAGCAAGATACTTTAACACCGCCAAAAAAAAAGAGAAAAAAAAAAAACCCATTCATTAAGTTTAGTTTTTCCCTGTCACCAATAACTCTTCCTCTCTATTACAACATAATTATCATATTTGTAATAATAATATAAGTGCATTTCTATTTTTAAGAAATAAATTCTATCATTTCATCATCCAGTTTTACTTTCTCAACTTTGTACATCGATAGTCAACTGATGAGTGCCAATTAGCTGTTGAAGAGAGTTTTGAAAAAGCCAGTGATTGAAATGGGAGATTTGGGCCTTCCATATACGAGTTCCATCCCTGATCATGTCAATGAAATGATATGGCTGCAAATTATCTAGAACAGTGTTTCTCAACCTTGACAATTTTAAGGCATGTGGACTTCAACTCCCAGAATTCCACAGCCAGCATTGCTGGCTGTGGAATTCTGGGAGTTGAAGTCCACATGCCTTAAAATTGTCAAGGTTGAGAAACACTGATCTAGAAGACAATAAAGACCAATGGGCTTGTTTCTTCTTGTCCTGCATAGCTTGAACTATCTTTCTAATGCTTGGCCTCTTGTCATGGCAGGTGGAAGAAGCTGATGATTGGCTAAGACATGGAAACCCCTGGGAGAAGGCTCGGCCAGAGTACATGCTTCCTATTCATTTTTACGGAAGAGTAGAGAATACAGAGACTGGTGTGAGATGGGTTGATACTCAGGTAATGTCCCTTGGAGAAGGGAAGCACATTTCAGTCATGTTAGTTGTGGGGTGGGAGAGTTTCAAATGTTCTCTGCAACCGTCAAGCTTAATTGTGCGAACTTAAGCAGAAAATTCCTACCAGGCAAGTCTAATGTGCAGCCATCTTGTAGAGGAGAATCATGCCTGGTGGTCCAAATTCTTCATGTAAATAAGATTTAATATCTAAATGCATCACAAAATCTAAGTAGGGGAAGACTTTGTTTCAGATTAAAATCCATGTACCACTTTTGTTTTCATTAAAATGCTTAAGTAGCTTAGAACAGTGGTCCCCATTCTTTTTGGCACTCGGGACCGGTTTTGTGGAAGACAATTTTTGTGTATAGGCTTAGGCATGAGCAATAAATCTTCTGAACTGACATGTGATCCTATTTTTCGCACCTGGCAGGAACCACTGAATGTTATAATATTCTAATGTTAGAATAACATTCCATTTTAAACCCAGTATAATTGGGGCAATCTCTGTCTTTAGGTTGTTTTGGCTTTGCCCTATGATACTCCTATTCCTGGTTATATGAACAACACAGTTAATACAATGAGACTCTGGTCTGCTCGAGCGCCCAACGACTTTAATCTCCGTGACTGTAAGTATTGTCAATGATTTCTCATTCTTTGGCTGGAGGAAATGTTAGGAAAATGGTTGTCTTCAGGCGTAGGCAGACCTAGTTTTGCAAGCCACCAAGGCCCACTCTGACCACACTGCCGAAGTTTGAAGGTAGTTTCCTCACTGGAAACAACAATGGAAGAATGGAAGAGCTCATATCTGCAGCGTTAGTGTAAAAACAAATATTTTGGATGATTATTTGTATTTTGGAAGTAGTTTCCATTGACCTTCATGCTTTCATTATGGGCCTATCCATGGTGGCCTTCATTACAGATTGAACCTTGGCAATGACAGGACTGAAGATTATAGCCCATAATAATTTACTATAACAAAATAGGGCTTTTTTTAACCTAGTCACTGAAGTGTGTGGCAGTAGTTCCTAGTGTGATCAACAGTTCTCAAATACAGATTGGAGAGTTTCAGGGATTTGGGGTAGGATACAGCATTTTTCTGACCTGCAGATAGCTGTGAAAAACAGAATTCTAACTGAGTTCCTCTTCTGCAAACTACTAGTATATTGTCAGACTAATAATGGGCAAAGAGATCTATTTTTCTCCCTCCTAACCCTTTTGTCAGGGTTTTTTCTTTCCTAAGGGGAGTAGAGGCTATTTTCTGCCTTCAGCAATGTTGCTATGTAACAACTAGAGACATGGAAGCTTGGGAGAGAAGAGAACATCCCTGGAACCAGGGATCGGAAACCCATGATCCTCCTCATGTGGCTGAACTACAGTTCCCAGCAGCCTCTGCACAGAGTCAAATGCTGGGAATTGGTATTTAACAACAATTGGAGGGCCACGGCTCTCTCCATCTTGCCTTAAATGCAATAGGAGGAGTAGCTGCTCTTGGCAGAGTGTCCTTAGGAAACATCTCCCAAGCATTTTCTTGGGGTCTAGGGATTTATGAAGAAAGCTGGAGATACTAAATAAAGAGAGAAATAAATAGATGAATCAAGGAAGCAGAGATGCTTGGGAAATTGCTAGCGCTTGGGGCAAAAGAAGGTCTAATAAAGTATTTCCCAACCTTAGCTATTTTAAGATGTGTGGATTTCATCTCCCAAAATATCCCTGCCAGGAGTGCTGGGTGGGGTTTTCTGGGAGTGGAAGTTCACACATCTTAAAATGGCTGAAGATGGGAAACAGTGGTCTAGTCTATTAGCTCAGCATCAGGAAGAGAGGGAAGTCCCTTCCATTTCCTTCCTCTGATATATTAACACTTCTGGTAAGGGAAGACCGAAAAGAAACTAGAGCAGGCTTCCCCAGCCTGGACATCCAAATTTCCAATCTGTCTGACTAATGGCTGGAAGTTCTGGAAGTCGTACACAACTCAAGAACACCAGATTGAGGAGAGCTGGGATAAAGGACTTCTTTTGAGGAGCTAGAAGGAAACTTGATACTTCACACTAACAAATTTACTCTTTAAATGCTAAGCAAATGCCTTGTTTTGGAAAGAAGAAGCCCTGCACATTCCTAATATAATTCTGCGCTAAGTAGACAGGAAAAAAGTTGTGGTTTTTTTTTCAACTCTCCATTCTCCCCTCCCACTGATACTGAACAGCTGTGCATGTTTTATTTCAACCTCCCTGTGCAGTTAATGTTGGTGATTACATTCAAGCGGTGCTGGACAGAAACTTGGCAGAGAACATCTCCCGCGTCCTCTATCCAAATGATAACGTAAGTTCCAAGCACTGTGAAGTGTTGCCTGCTGGTGGGAGGGAATGAAAGAAATGGGGGCTGTGACCAGTTTACTTCTTAAGTGGGCACCCTGCTAATCATTCAGAACCAAACATGGTGGCAAATTGCCTCTTTTTGTGTATGTTGCAGAGCTGATTGCCTAAGTCAGTGGTGGCAAACCTATGGCATGCGTGCCAGAGGCGGCACTCAGAGCCCTCTCTGTGAGCATGCATGCCATTGCCCCAGCCCTGCCTCCCCCTGTGGCCCCCTCCTCACCAGCAGCCCCCCCCCAGAGGAGAGTCATCCCTGGGCACGGCCCGTATGGAGCAGCGCAGCGAAGGACATGGCACCAGGCAGCAGGGACAAGACTTTGCCCCCACACCCCATCGTGCGCAGATGCTGCTGTGGGGTGGAAGGCATGGCCACCATGGTGCTGCAGGGCCACCTGGGCGATCTGCGGCAGGCCGTGGAGGCGGTAGGTGGGCCTGCGGGCGGGGGATGGAGCAGGGGCGATGGGGCGGAGCAGGCGGGGCAGAGAGGGAGCCGGCGGGGCAGTTTTGGGACACTCGGTGTCTAAAAGGTTCACCATCACTGGCCTAAGTCATCAAGCCCATAACCAACTAACACAGGGCCTGGGAGGACAACCAGGATTTATACAGTTTATGAAAGGTCAGAAGGTTAGGAACAGTCTGAATATCCAGGGGGATATAATTCCAGAGAGCAGGAGCCATTCCTGTAAAGAAATGCTTCCTAGGCCCCACCAGATGACACTGCTTAATAGAACACAAAGCATGCATGCTCTGCCAACCCTGATCAGATGAGCAGAAACATATGGGGACAGGTGGTCCATCCAGTAGCCAGGCTAATGTGCACATTTGTGTGGAGGTTTATAAATGATAATCAGCACCTTGAATTGCCCCAGAAACTAACTGGCAAATCATGTACTTGTGAAGCAATGGTGTTATGTGCACATACTGTGACACACCCATCAGAGCCCACCCCACTGCATTCTGGATCAGTTGTAGCTTCTGAGTGGTCTTCAAGGGCAGCCCTTACAGTAAACCAATCAAGAAGTGACCAAGGCATGAGTGACTGTCTAAAGAGCCTCCCAGTCCAGAAGTGGGCACACTTGATACACTTGATAAACCCACACAGAGACCCTCCTGTCCATAGTTGTCATCTGCTTTTTTTGACCCAAGGGAACACACATATAACCTGATTGTGCATCCATCTCACATGGGGTAATGCTGCTCCATTGATAATGAAATATGGAGGGTCCAGAAGACAGACAAAAGCATCTCGTCCTCTTAGGATTAAGCCTGAGCCTGTCCCTCCCCATCCACACCTCCACCGCCTCCAGGCATCGGGTCAGGACAGCATCATTTGGTGGTCCTGGGGTCAAGTTGTATAATTGGGTATCATCCGCATATAAGATGATTTCTGACTCCAGACTGATGGATCAACAATTTTCATGTAGAAATTGAACACTCGTTAGAGGAAGTGTTGCAATACTTCCCCTAACAAACCCACAATGTAGTCGCAGTTTATCTCACTATGTAGAGAGGAAGTTGAAACAGAGAGGGACTTATGCAAAATTACCAGTTACATTCAATTACATTCATAAGGGACCTACAACAATTTATACTAAAAAGCATAACATTCCTTGTAAAGTAAAGCTGAAATCTCTGACATACAGTATATCAACCGTGTGAATTTTTCCACTGACTAGCCTATTTTGCACACAGACTCTGCTGTTAACCACTAGAAAATATCCTAATGTCTGTGATTATTAACCTGGCTTTCCTTTTTCCAATACTGAGAATTTAAATTACAATTATCTAATCCAAACAACTGAAAGAAGCTCTCCTTGGCAGGGTAGCGTGGAGAGCACTTGCCTATAAAGTCGCCGAGAGTCAGACATGACTGAATAATTAAAACAGCAACATTTCTAGATGCTGTATCAGGGGTTGCTGCATTCTTCCAGTCTATGCAATATTTCAAGTTAATTAAATGAAGTTACTACAGGTGTAACAGCACGGATAGGTCCAACCAATGGGCTGTCTGGGCCAGCCTTCCAGCTCCCCCCAAGGACTAATCAAAGATCTCCAGGAAGATGCCAAGAAAGGCAGGAAGGCCATAGCACACTTACGCAGTTGCCTTCTAGCCCTGGCATTTTGAGATTTGGAATATTTCTATTGTTCCCATAATAACAAAGAGCCACTGATTGACCTCCCTCTTTTTCCATAAGTTATCTAACTCTTTTCTTAAGTCATTAGTGGTAGTCCTCCACTTACGATGGACTAGAATTTCAATTGCTAAGCGATGCGGTTGTTAAATGAGTCATCATGTGACCAGGCCCAATTTTATGATAATTTTTACTGCAGTCATTAAATGAATCACACAGTGAAGCAAATCCAAATTTCCCAATTGACTGTCAAAAAAGGTTGCAAAGTGAGAGCAGAGGACTGCAGGACCCTGCAACTAGTCGTAAAAGCGAGCTTGTTACCAAGCACCTGTATTGCAATCATGTGACCATCGGGTTGCACAAACATCTTAAGTGCCAGGACAGGTTGTAAATATTTTTTTCTGAGGTTGTTGTAACTTTGAATTGTTGTTAAACGAACGGTTGTGAGTCGAGGACTACCTGTACCTCATTTTGAAAATTGAAAGTCTTAAAAGAAATGAGATGATACTGGCGGGATATCAGAGTTGGCATCTACTGTGTGGTCCATGGGTCAGAATACATCAGAGGGACAAAGGCACTAATCAACCTCTCCCAATTTTTGTGTACAGCTGTATGATGATGTATGGCTGTAATATCCCGAAAATTCTTTTTCACAAGGCAGCTGGACTTTCTTGGATGAGAAACGAAACATCTTCAATGAAAAACAAGAAAGTCCAATTGCCTCATGAAAAAGCATCTTTGGGATAACTATGACCTGGATGACTGAGAATCTCCATAGACATATGACTGTAATAAAGATTTGATTTGTTTATAGCTGCCCAAAGGCTCAACAATTGGATGACTG